TTTTTTGCACGGATAAAAAATGAGAAGAATTGATAACTATTGAAAATGGTTCCCCAGAGAAACTTGATCTTTTCTGTGTCAGACTATTATAGGAGGTATTCAAAAGTGAGTTTGTGATAGAATGATTCATATGGTACTTATTTGTGCTGTGCACAGATCGATTCAAATAGTCAATGGTCGTCACATGTATATTGAACCGAACTGTTGATGATATTCAGCACTTTTGATCTACTCACCTCATGGAGTGATCAGGTTATTTTCGTATGATTCGATAGTACTTTTCAAGCGATTCAAAATGGTATAAAAACATCGAAGAAACAACACTGATCATATAAAGAAATCCCAAGAAGACTATTCTCGAGACATGATTTTATAATTTTTCTCTTTGCCTAATACTTAGTATATTTCAGTTAGAAAAATATGAATTAGATAAAAACTAATATGATATTCTGAGTCAGCATCCAAAACTAAGTTTATTTACGTGTATTTCAAAAATTTTCGCTACCTTTTCTTCGTCGAAAAATTCATCCATAATCCTCCTCAGTGTTGGGTCACAAAATAAATTTCGTTGAAGAGTTATCTTGACTGTGGAAATCAAGTTCTAAGCTTATAAAATTAAAGTAGAACTCCAAATAGCAGATGAATAAAGAGTAAAAACAGAGTTTTTATGAAATTCGTTTCTGACTCAATCCTGAGGGGACACAGAAGTAAATTATTCAATAAAAAATGTTTTGTGAAAATGTTTGAAATACACGTAAGTCCACTCATCATTTTGGAGTGCTGATTCAGAATATCATATTAGTTTTCATTCAAAGTGCAATTTTCATATCGAAACCTATTGAAAACTAGCAAGACGGTGTCATAAGAATTTCTTCTGGTTGATCAGTATTTTTTTCTCGATGTTGTTATACCATTTCGAAATCGTTGAAAAGTGCTATCGATTCATATGAATACTAGTCCGGTTGGTCTTCGAATAGATAAATAAAGAGTTAGCCATCCTCAGGAGCTAGACATAGTATGTGTACAACAACCATTGACTATTTCAAGCGACCGAAGTACAGCATAAACAAATGTTATGGGTGTAATTTCACCAGAGATCATCTTGAGTAAGAGTTTAACATGAAAGAAATCATATTTCTCTAGGAGGTCCATTTCATTAGTTATTGAACCCTTCTTTATATTCAAGATGTCAAGAATGAAGCGTAGCGATGCATTGATTTGCCACAATCGTCATATAGTCAATCTAAAAAGTATGAACCAGTAAGGTTATGACTTTGAAAAATAATCAATATTAGTGTTTCTGAGCTTATCGAGATATATAATATTGTATTGAGACCTGCTGTATCAATGGTTAAAACAATAATAATGTTAAATTATGAAAAAAAAACAATATGACAAAGATAAATAACGAGTGAATAGCAACAAGATAACCAAAGAATAAGGCACCAGTAAAATAAGAAAAAATTTCTGTTCAAAATACAGAAATACATAAGAGAGATTGATGATATTTCGAAAAAACTTTAGTCTACTACAAATTTTTCACTTGGCGTATCTTTTATCATTATAATCAGGTTAAAAAAACACATGTGAGTTTCACATTTCAGTCCCGAAGGAGCTGTGCTGACAAGTTTTTTGTTCAAACATTCTTACAAAGTTCTATGTTCTTATATGATCAATTGTGTTTTCTCGAAACTTCGATACGAAGTTCTGTTCGTTCTCAATTCACTTCATAAAATGATAATTTTGAAGTGAGATAGCGAGTTTCAGCAGCAATTGTGACTGTTCAGTAGATCGGATGTCATTGTCGTCTTTCGAAGTTTCCTTCATATCGAAGATCTTCTTAAGATCTATATTCTGCTTCTGTCAGTGATAAAGAATTGACGATGAAAAGAAAAATGAATGAAAATCTAACCAAGAACTTTCATGCACCAGACCACTATAAATTTCATAGGTTTTTCATACCATATCTGTTGATTTTCGATTATTACAAAATCTGATTTATTTTCTAATAACTCATTTGAAATGTATATAATTAAGTAAGCATTAAATTCATTATTCTACATTGTACAACGTAGAAACTTTTTTTCTCACTAAACTTGATATTTTGACTGATTCGAAAGTTTTCGAAATCTGATAAACGATAAGTCCAATTTGTGGACGTGCTTCGAAACGAGTTTGCATCACTGGTTTAGTCTGTCTGGTATCTGATTTTGTCCTTGACATGTTGGTTTCCTCTTCAGCAAAAATAGATTCTGTTATAGTGAATGCGAATTATTGAAGAACAATAGAATAATAACGTAGAATAACACAAACTAGATTCATTTCAATACTTTGCAATTTTAGGAGAATAGTTAGAATGACGAATTTAAGTGATAGTCTCAAAAAGCACTTAAATTATTATAGTTGACGGAAAGTCAGTTTCTGATTAAAGAGTATGGTCAGGAAACATTTTTCATAAATGCATAATACATTTTTTTGTGATGCTATATCTCAATTGAATGATAATCTAAAGAAACTGATTAATTTTCGATTTGGTCGGGAAAGAGCTGTTTCGTGATAAGCTTTCAAAGATAAAATTTGAGTTTAGAGAAAATAATCTTATGTTATATTTGATATGTTCTTTTCTACAATACTTTCCAGAAATATATATTGGCATGGTTTATCAGATTATTCACCCATACTTTATATTCATCTATAAGACCGACAGAAAATTTCTTTTATACAAGATACTCAATGATATATATACATCCAAGTCGAAAGAAAAACAGACTAAAATCAAGAAAATATCTGTTCTTTACATATTCCCATAGGTTTAATCGGACTATATCAGTTTCCTATATCTTCAAGTCAAAATAGATTCAAAAACTTTTAAAAATATTCATCTCCAATGTTAGTTGTTTTGTTCATCTGTAGTTAATCTCTTATTGACGTATTTCAGACGGAAAATGCAAGACTTCAGTAGTCCGAAGTAAACGTACACTACTTCGACGTGCTTCACTCGTACTTCGAAGTACTAAAGTCTCGCTTTTTACCCTCGTGATGTATTCTCTACCACGATTTTCTCTTTTTTCAAACTTAAGTTGCTTCGAAACTAAGACCGTTTTCGAAAAATGAATCATCAAAAACTTTTAAATGTTAATATGATCGACACTTCTTGTTGCAATTAATTTCTACATTCACTTACATTTCTATTCTTGGTTTTGTTTTCTCGAAACAATTCTCTATTGATTGTGATCTATTTTATTTTATAATAGATTCTTGATTTTGGATTAGCTCGTGTTGCATCAACTGGTGCTCATACTGATTATGTTTCTACTAGGTACGTCCATCATTCTTGTTTTATGTTCAAAACTACTACAAAGTATCTATTTTTTCTTAGATGGTGGCGTGCACCAGAAATATATGTCAATGAGAAAAAATATAATGAAAAAGTTGATATATGGTCTGTTGGTTGTATAATGGCAGAATTAATTCTACTTAAACCACTTTTTCCTGGAAAAGATACAATTGATCAGTTAAATAAAATATTTGATATTATTGGTACACCCGATTCAAAAACATTACAAGAGATATGTACACCAGGTTTGTATGAAAGAAAAAACAACATGAAATTCACCTTCGATAATTGAAAAATAGAATTCTTCATTCACATTGAAATAAGAATACTTTTTCAATTATTATCAGTTCATATGATATAGAGGTCACTAATATTATAAGATATAAGCAATATTTTATATGAAAAATTTTAGAAGCATCTGCTTATATCAGTCGAATGGAATATAAACCCAAAGCAAATTTTAATGAATTGTTTGGTTTTAAATATGATCCATTAACAGAAACACCAATATCTGGTGTTTCATCAGAAGGTAAATTTATAATAAAGAGAGAGAGAGACACAAACACATAAATTGCATTTACTTTATATGATTATAGGTGTTGATTTACTTGATCGTCTTCTATCTTTTGATCCTCGTCAACGTCCAACTGCTGAAGAAGCTTTAAGTAAATTTTCATAATATAATTACACATTAATCATTTTCTATATCCTATTTGCTATTTAGATCATCCATTTTTGAAACTTTATCATGAACCAATGGAAGAGCCAACTATAGAAACTATGATTGATGAACATCTAGATACAGAATATACTAAAGAACAATGGAAATGTAAGTCATTTAAATAGAAGCTTTGTTGTTATTAATTATAGTACTCAGAAATCATCATTTTTATTGTGATAAAATTGATGGATAAAAAAATTTAAGAATAGAAAATAGTTAAATATTAATTTTTCTAGTGTATATATGTCGACTGTTTCAGGAAAAACAGAACATATATCCTTTCATTTAACTTTGATTTCTTACGAAAATTATTTTTCTGAATAAGTTCTATTAGCATAGACATATGTAAAAAAATTGACTTTATTAGCTGTCTATTAATTTTAATTAATAAATAAATAAATTCAAAAGTAATTAGGAGACTTCTCTCTAACTATAAGAGAAAAAAAAATCCAAAAGCTTCGGAATAGACTCTACGAACGATCTGCATCTATAATGAAATTTTCAATAAGATCGAACTCCAAAAAACTTTCTCTGAAAAACTGAGTTTTCTAGAGGCCCTGCCAAGTCCTGGAACAAAAATTTTTGTCTTACTATCATCTAGAGATTCCGATGAAGAATTTGTACCATTTGGAATTATTGCCCGTTGCAAAATATAATGTCCACCACTGCTTTTTGAATAACTCGAGAACGCAAGCAGCTAGAGACTTGCGATTTTCATCAATCGAAAGAGGAGATCGGGGGGGACGTCTTTTTCTCCAATAATGTGTAAGAAAAAAAATCCTTTTAAAATAAATTATTTTCGAAAAACATGTAAAAGAAGGCATGAAAATGACCTGTCATCTAGATAAAATTTTGATTTTGACCTTTGATTTAGATAGAGCGACCTCAAATCTATAGTTCAAGATATAGTGCGTTTCCTTACTTTTCATTACGTTTCCATCGAAATGTCCAGCCATTATGATAAAAAGTGAGAAAATTTAGTAAAAAATTAACAAAAATTTCTTTTGTTTGCGCATATAAACACATATTCAATTTGTTCAACGTTAGAATATAATAAGAGAACCAATCTACGTTGTGTCTTGAACTATAGATTTGAGGTCCTTCTATCTAAATCAAAGGTCAAAATCAAAATTTCATCTAGATGACAGGTCATTTTCATGCCTTCTTTTACATGTTTTTCGAAAATAATTTGTTTTAAAAGGATTTTTTTCTTACACATTATTGGAGAAAAAGACGTCCCCCAGATCTCCTCTTTCGATTGATGAAAACCGCAAGTCTCTAGCTACTTGCGTTCTCGAGTTATTCTAAAAACAGTGGCGGACATTATATTTTGAAACGGACAATAGTTTTGAACTTCTCATTTGGTAATAAGAGCACTTTTTTCGTTTGTATATTTGTACGTCGTCACGGCGCTAACGAAAAGTAAATGGATTTTTCTTTAAAAAACCTAGACATCCTCAGAAAACAATTTTGCATAGAGATTTTGTAGCCTTAGGAGTTGTCTATAGCGTGTACTATTTAGTTTTCAAAAATGCTACCTCAATTCAGATTTTTTTTAAACTAAAATGTGTAAAGTGAAAGTCAATGTCCTTTTTTTATGTCACATCGCTAACGCTAGGTTTTTTCCTGACAACTTCTCTGAACAAAGATCTCTAGCGCTGATTTTTTCAAGGTATCTAGAGTAACTTAACATACATGTAACACAAAAATTAGCTTTAAGAAAGCTCGTTATTTTGAGACACAACTGTTCTCATTTTGCGAAGTTACGTCGCTAACGAATAATTTTGCCCATATATTATTGGTTATTAATAGTCTCCATAGGATGATTTTCCCTCATTGTGTTTGCACTTTTAATTAGACATGTTTTTCTGAAAAAAGATTAATAACAATTAGATGTGGATAATGATTGTTTTACTGATATGTATTTAAAAATATTTTATCATTGTTTTAGCTATTGTATGGCAAATGGTTGAAGAGTTTTTACCACCATCTTGGGTTACTCAAGATCTTATGGATGATTCATAAGATAAAGCTATGTATAACATAGAATATAACCATTTCAGAGTTGTCAATTGTTGATACAACACAATGGATGTTGATTTTTACATGCAAACTTACATTTTTATGCTTATGTCTGTTGTATTTAATTACAAATTTATGCACTTCTGAAATTTTGATATATTTTTCTTATTATTATATTCTTCTATTAATTTATTCTTTTATATACGAATTTCAATTAGAAAGTTCGGATAAATTCAGACAAAAAATGTTTTATTTATTTTTTACGATAGTTTCAAACTTTGTATATTTTTTTAAAGGATTTTTTATTGTATTGACTTCAACAAAGACAGAAATATTGATACAATTGTTTTCATGTAAAAACTTTCTTTTGTTTTAAACTAGTGTATAATAATAAACAATAAAGCAAAAAAACGTTATGAACGTAATGTTGCAATGGAATTGAATTGCTTATTTTGAATAATAAAACAGAAACATTTTGACACTGGCATCTTATCTAACATCTTCATTAGTATGTCTTTTTTTTTCTGAAAACCAACTTCCATAACTTTTCGAAATAACTTCAATTCATCGTGAGTAATGTAAGAATGTTATATAATGCCATCAATCATTTTAATGAAAAATCATTGACAAAGAGCAATAATTTCAAATGTCTAAAGAGCTGCTTTTGATTTCATGCTTATAAATAAGTAAAGAAAATCGTCATTTTGTTAAATGTAATAATGTGAACATATATGTTCATGATAAAATTGTCTTTTGAATAGAGATGAGAAACCGTAGTTTTCAAGATCATTTAACACAAAGATTTCAGTACTCTGAATAATTTTAAAGTTTTGAATCAAAATAGCATAAAAATTCTAATATGGATTGAAACACTGAATGATTGTATCATTCAATAAAAAAAAAAACTTTGTGTTTTACAATTACATAGAATTATTATTGAATGACAACAAAGAATTTAAAAAAAAGAGATCTACATTTGTAATAGTCAATCGAAAGCTGTGCTTCGTTATAATGATAAAAAGAGGTTGAGATGCTTATATCTGACTAGTGGATTTTCAAGTGAATTTTTTTATAAATTTGAAGTTTACTGTCATGTCAAAAAATGGTAATGAACATTGAATAAACAATTTTTTTTTCTAAAAACTTAGTAAGAATTATGGAGAAAACTCATGTTGCACGTTTGTGCGTAGTACCACCAGTATACTGCAGTAGAATGGCAGTCAGAAGATAGCCCACCGTTTAAGTATCAAGCTATCGTCGATTGATTGTCGACATACTGGCGATTTTTTGTCATTACTGGCGAATATTGGCTGTACAGCGCATATTATATCGAGTGGTCTACCGACAGTTTACTGGCGAAGGACTTCCCTCGTGAGAGAGAACTTCGCTGAAGTACACTTTGGTGAAAAAATGGTGTAGGACTACCGGTGAATTTTCGTGAAGATCGATCAATATCATTTACCACTTGAACATTTATCGATGCGTACCGGTTGTTGTTGTAATGATTAACAGCTCATAGCTGTTGTCAGTTCGAACCGGTGAATCGGTAGTCATGAATGATCATCATCGTTGCATCCATATTTTTCTATGGTCGTGTCTTATTGAATAGTCGATCAACTTTTCTTGAGAAAACAAACTCTAGAAGTGTTATACAGCTCAAGAAAGTGGTTGTCAAAGATGAGTAATTGCCATCAACTTTTATCAACAACTGAACATATAAGAGTAATGTAAAATGTTGTAAAATATCAGATTCACTTTTTTTTTAGAACTTTTCTATCTGATTATTTCACAGCTATATTTATAAGTTATGTTTATGTATTATAGAGATCAGTCAACGATATATATTGAACTACTCTACAAAGTCCTATTCAACGTTATTTCACTTATTTGCTATAAATTTGTCTCTCATTTTAAAATACAAACTGGAATGATTTCGATAAAATCTAACATCGATCTAAAAGAAATATCGATATACAAGTAAAATAATGACATGTTCAAAAGTAATCATGAAATATTCTATATTTGGATTATTTATATTATAGTCAAACTTACATGATTTTGTAGAGGAAATCATGAGGAAATTTTCTATAATCATCGTCATCTTGCTCAAATATTTGTTAACAAGAAAATAAACTTGAAACATATAGAACATATTATGCAAATGCTCATATAATCGTATTTTTTGTATATTAGCTTATAGTGATGAGTCTTATAGTTCTTATGGAGAACAATTTAAAATTTATTTATTAACACCATTTCGTAGAGTACATTTTGATGGATCTACTGACTGTTACTTAACAGACTTGCAAGCAACGTCCTTGAACAAAAATATGGATGTTCTCATAATTGACAGAAAAACGGTTTAAAGTAGTTTAATCAATGTTAAGGATTTTGAGAAAAGTATCCTCCAACAGCTTCTAGTCAACTATTACGGCTAAACAAAAAATATGTAAAAGTGTATGCCGAAGAAATTAGGTTTCACAATATATGACTTTGATCGAATTTCATAGGACGGCAGGTTTGGGCCGATATACAGTGGGATCCTTTTGGTACAGTGCAAGTTCTTTGTTACCATATATTGATTAATACTAATGATGAGATTGAAAGTCTATCAATGTTGTAGTTTTCTATATTTTTTTATCGTTATCAAAACTTTGTCAACTGGATATCTCATATAAAAAATGATTTAATTTTTGCTTCTAAAAATACTTTTATTTCCATCTACATCCTTATCAGTCAATCGTTGTGTAATACATTACTCTTTATTGAATATTTGATGCTATACTTGATTTTGTGGACATAGTTTTATTCTTGAGGAAATAATAGTAAATAATAATATCAAACTGAACATGAGTTTAAGAATTGATTGATGAATTATGAAGCTATCTATGATTATCATAACAAAATGTAACTATAACTATAAAAGAAAAGGTCATGTCTTAATATATCTTGATTGAGCATTCGGTTCGAATGCTATTCTCATACAAATCATCAACTATGAAATCTTATTCTTCTCATAATCCAGCATCACCATTCATTTTCTTGCTATTAACTACTCAAACTTTCATATCTTTATTTTATACGTTTCTATAAAAGAAGTTCTGTTTGTGATCTTATTCTAAAACCATAACTTATAATTGATTGTTCTATTTATAATGGAATAAATTAACATATAATAAGTGTTCATTTTTGCATTAGTATGAAAATAGATTTCATAACAATACTATTGATGGCGTAATCAGGCGGAGGTAGAGGATCTCAGTTCCCTTTGCAGATATGATCAGATGTCTGAGATCCTCGTCTTACGACTTTTTTCTGGTAACGACACAAAATACTACATCGCTAACTTGTTCAATGTCGTCGTTAATATTGCATTATCATCATTGTTATTCAATTTTCCATCAACATTGCCATATTAATTAAGTTTTTTTTCTTTTATCAACAAATATTCAACAAAACCTTTTTTCTGTCGAAATCATATTAGTATTTCACTAATCTACATGTAAGGATTGATGATGGAAAAAATCAATCAATACATTTATTACTAAGACGACTGTCATTTTCTTTTTCGCACGTTTTTCTTGCTGTTCTACACTTCATCGATCGTGTCTGTGTGATAGGACAGTCAGTAAGAATGAGCATGAAAAAAAAAAACGTCAACCGTATCTATCATGCTCTTTTGATCTTTTATTTATTTTTCATTAGAAGTAGTGCTTTATCTTTACTTTAACAGGTAAAGTTAAACATTTTACTTGATCTGTGAGGTAAAATGAATATATTTTATATTACTGGGTAAAGTAAAGTATAGTGAAGAACATATAGTAAAGCCAAATATTGTAGTACAAGTTTTGGCCACTTTCTTAGTTCAACACCAAAAAGTATACTCACTTTAATTTAATCGATAAAGTAAAGTTAGATATTTTACTTTACTTTTACAAAATAGAATAAAGATAAAATACCACACTTATATTTCATCTGATTTGCTTACTTTGTTATCGATATTTTAGTACAAAAAAAATTGAATAAATAAGAGAAAAAACATTATTTCAATATTTATAAATGTATTATTTTCTTTACGACAAATAATATCGAATCACTTTTCTATAATCAGACAAAAGAAAAAACAAAACTTAGCTTTGTTAAACCTATGAAAAAGTGTTATTTTATGATCTTTATCAAAAAAAATCAACATGACCTCCATTAAAATCGACAGAATCAAGAACAAATATTGAGTAATTTGCGTTCGATTTGTAACGGTGAAAGCGCCATCTATCAGTTCTTTTTTTAAATTTCATACTGTATGGTAAATATACATGGAAATTTCCGTTTGAGTAGGACAATTTCTTGGTTGGTTTTTTCATTGCTTTATAAATAGCTGTCACTATTAGTTGTTTGCTTCATTCTGTTCGCTTTTACTTTTCTCATATTCTTTTCTATTATAAAAATGATGTTTTCTTTTTATATTTCAACATCATAGAAGACTCAACAGATTATCGTTTCTTTGGATTAACAAAAATAAATATGAATGTTAATGATGTCGAACAAGATGGATGGTATACAGTTTATTGTGGTCATGGTAGATTTACATTACCTGTGCGATATCAAGATTTAGTTCTTATTGGACAAGGAGCTTATGGTATTGTAGTGTAAGTAGAAATAATCATTTCATTTTCTTTTCATAATTATTGAATTTGTTATTTAGTCGTGCAACTGATACTGTACGTATTATTATGAACATGATTAAAAAGACATGTATATATATGTATATATATATAATTGTATTTTAGACAACAGGTAAATACGTAGCTATTAAAAAAATTCTTCGTCCTTTTGAAACTGATATACATGCAAAACGAACTTATCGAGAACTTAAACTACTTATGTATCTCAATCATCCTGATGCACAAGTTTGTAGAAATGATTGTTTTAGATTTGTCGAAAGTCGTTTGTATTTTTTTTATACTTTAGGTGGTACAATTATATAATGTATTTACACCTGAACAGAATGTAAACGAATTTCGAACAATGTATGTGATAAAAATATCTTTATTTATTGAAGATTTTTAGTTTTTTTTTTGTCTTTTTCAACAGATACTTAGTATTGAATTTTGTTGGTCATGACTTGAATAAACTTCTATTACAACGTGTACCACTCACAGAAACACTTATTCAATTAATTATCTGTTCACTTCTTCGTGGTTTGAAGGTATGATAAATTTTATCTCAAAATTCATTCAATACAATATTGTTCTCTTTGTTATCTAGTTTATTCATTCAGCTGGTATTCTCCATCGTGTACGTGAAACCAAGGCGTTTTTTCCTATGTTAAAATTTTTGTTGTATTCTATTAAAATAGGATTTAAAACCAACAAATATTGGAATCGATCGAAATAGCAATGTTACAGTAAGTATTGTATAAAAACATTGAATTTGATAATCTTGTCGAAGAAAATAACGAATGCACTAGACTACTATAAATTTCACAGAATTTTCATACAATATCTATTGACTTTCGGTTAGCAAAAAACTCGAATTGTTTCCTCATAACTGATTTGTGGTATACATAAATAAGTGCGCATTGAACTTGTCATCCTATTTTACACAATATTGAAACATATTTTCTTTGTTAAAGTTGACATTTCAAGTAGTTTGAAAGTATTAAAATCTCATAAGCAACACGTTCGGTTTGGAAATGTGCTTTGTACTGAGTTCTGATTATGGGTTTAGTCTGTCTACTATTTAATTTCGTTTTGTATATGATAGTTTTCTCTTCAAAGAAAATAGATTTTGTTGTTGTGAATGAAGAGTATTGAAGAACAATAGAATAATGATGTACAAAAATACAAAGGAGATTCGAATTAGTTCATTTTCACCGACGATGTGTTTCGTCGTCTTCAATATTGCCGAATGAATTCATAACTGAAAGCGACTCTAGATCAAATATGATCCATTATATGTGTATAAAATTTTATTATAATTAATTAGTTTATTAACAAATCTTTTGGTTCTCATCTGAGTGGGTTACCATTTGAGTCAGTAGGGTATTGGTGTGGGTATAGGTATCAGTATGAAGAGGAGGACACCCATACTCTACAGACTCAAATAGTAACTCACTCAGATGGTAACCAAAGACTCGCTAATAAACTAATTAATTATAATAAAAGTTTACATATATAATAGATCATATTGAATCCAGACTCGTTTTCAGTTATGAATTTATTCGGCAATATTGAAATCGGCGATACTGATGGTCGACCAAAGGAGAATTCGGCGAAAATGGAAATTACTGGAAACTCATTTTAACCAAGAGAAAACAACGTACTTCTTTACATTTTGGAACACAACGGGAGTATAAGAGTACAACGAAGGTACGAAACTATCGCGAGAGTGAAGTGTAAGCACATGGAGCAGAGTAAAAGAACTGTGAGAGCACAGGAGTAGGTGGGGTACGAAAGTAAGTCGTTATTTTCTTGGAATTAGGTCTAGCTTTTCCTTAATTATAAAACTACACTTCTATTGTACTTCAAACTTCATAATCCGTATATTCTCATTGTACTTTCATACATCTTATACTCCAGAGAGCGCTGGAGAACGTCGTTCTTCCTGTCCAGGACTCCATGTACTTCATGTACTGTTGGAGTCCAGAAAGTACAGTGGAAGTACGGGAGTACGCAGTACATCGTTTCTCTACTGATTTCAACACGTTGTAATTCTAGGAGAATGTTTAAAATGATGAATTTCAGTGATAGCCTCGAGAAGCATGTAAATCGTTTTAGTTGGTGCAAAGACAGTTTCTGTAAAGAGTATGATCAGAAAATTTTTCTCATAATACATAAAATACTTTGTTGTGATGTTATATCTCAAATGGACGATAATCTAAAGAAACTGATTAATATCCTGTTTGATCGATAAAGACTTGCTTCAGGATAAGTGATCGGGTAAAATTTGATTTTAGAGAAGACAATTTTATACTTTATTCGACATATCCCTTTTAAAATAATTTCTAAATTATTCGATCTCTACCGTTAATTGTCTTGGTCATCTGTACCTATTTTCTTCTCGATGCATTCTCTACACCATGATTTTGCCTTTTTTCGAACTTAAAATACTTCCAAAATAAGAACATTCCTGAAAACCAAGGCATCAAAAACTTTTAACTGTTAATGTTGTTGTTATCGACACTTCTAGTAGCCATCAATTTCTACATTCGCTTACATTGCTGTTCTTGTTTTTCCGAAAAAGTTCTTTATTGATTGTCATCTCTTTTTTTTATAATAGATTCTTGATTTTGGATTAGCTAGTGTTGCATCAATTTGTCCTGCCACTACTTATGTTTGTACCAGGTATGTCAATCATTCTCGTTTTATTTCCAAAACTACTAAAATAATTTGTTTTTGTTAGATGGTGGCGTGCACCAGAAATATATCTCAATGAGAAAAAATATAATGAAAAAATTGATATATGGTCTGTTGGTTGTATAATGGCAGAACTAATCCTACATAAACCACTTTTTCCTGGACAAACTAAATTTGATCAGTTAAATAAAATATTTGATATTATTGGTACACCAGATTTAGCAACATTATCAGAGATATGTACATCAGGTTTGTACAAAAAAAAACAAAATGAAATTCATATTTCGAATATAAAATATCGATAATTGAAAATAGAATTCTTCACTAACATCGAAATGAGAATACTTTTTTAATGTGCATTTTAGAGTTAAATGGTCGTGAGCATTTTTTGAATAACTTTAAAATAAGAAGAGAGAAATAACTTGATTTTCAGCATTCTATCTTTTTACAAAGTCGATAAAAAGTTTCATTCTTTTTTTTTGGATACATCATAAGTTTTGAAGATGATCTTAATCTACTTTGAAAACAAAATGCTCTCTCAACCATAATATAATAGGCAACTAGCCTAATTTCTTCTCTATCGATCCACACAAAGCCAAGATCGATAATGATTCTGCGTTCGAAATATATAAAGATTTTACTGAAGATCATTCACCCAATCTTTTCAAAATGTGAGCTGCTAAAAAATATGTCTTTCTATAAGTTTGTAGTTGCCTTCGATTTTGTGACATGATTTATCAGCTTTCAGAGTTTTTTTACTAAAAGCGTCATCAAAAACCATACATTGGGTGCTAGTGTGTGAGTATTTGTGTGGCTGTTGGTTTTTTCTTCAGCCATTATCATACCTACATTCCTTTACTAATGAGACACTGTATACGTTGACTCATATAGAGTTAGCCTGGACTAATATAATAACATATACTTGATAGAAAAACGAATTTTACTTGGACTGAAATGACCAAATTGGCACTAGAATGAATTTATGGGTTATATGTGACAAAAGCATGTAGTTAGATTAGTCACGTCAAACAATGTGAGACAACATTTAAAAAGACCGATATCTATATCGAAGAGATGGAAAAAGAACTATATAATCATAAAGACGATGATTATAGCACTTATAGCATAGATGATATCGATGATTAATAACTTTTATAGTAAATTTACGTAAACATCTTAAAATTGATTTCGGTTGATAGATTTGAAGTCCAAAATTATTCAGATGAAAGCACTAATAAAATAAAGGTTTAAGAAAAATTTTTGAAAGTATTTATGCATTATAATCAAAATAAATTCTATTTATGGTTTTTGATGACGCTTTTAGTAAAAAAAATCCGAAGGCTAATAAATCATATCACAGAATCGAAGGCAACTACAAACTTATAGAAGGAAATATTTTTTAGCAGCTCATATTTTGAAAAGATTGGTTGAATAATCTTCAGTAAAATCTTTATATATTTCGAACGCAGAATCATTATCGATCTTGGCTTTGTGTGGATCGATAGAGAAGAAATTAGGTTATTTGCCTATTATATTATAGTCGAGAAAGCATTTTGTTTTTCAAAGTGGATTAAGATTATCTTCAAAACTTATGATGTATCCAAGAAGAAAAGCGACTGAAATTTTCCATTGACTTTGTAAAAAGATAGAGTGGTAAAAGTCAAGTTATTTCTCTCTTTTTATTTTAAAGCTATTCAAAAAATGCTCACGACCATTTAACTCTGAAATGAACTATAATGATCATCAGTTCATATCACTTTGAGTTTACTAATATCATAAAATATAAAGGATATTTTATGCGAAAAATTTTAGAAACATCTACTTATATGAGTCAAATGGAACCTAGACCCAAAACAAATTTTAATGAATTGTTTGGTTATCAAATTGATCCATCAACAGGAAGAACAATATCTGGTGTTTCACCAGAAGGTAAATTTATAATAAAGAGAGAGAGAGAGAGACAAATACATAAATTGCATTTACTTTATATGATTATAGGTGTTGATTTACTTGATCAGCTTCTATCTTTTGATCCTCGTCAACGTCCAACTGCTGAACAAGCCTTAAGTAAATTTTCATAATATAATTACACGTTGTTTTTTTACTATTTTGTATTTGTAATATAGGTCATCCGTTTTTGGAATTTTATCATGATCCAGATGATGAGCCAACTATAGAACCTATGATTAATGAACATCAAAATGCAGAATATACTAAAGAGCAATGGAAAGGTAAGTCATTTAAATAGAAATTTCGTTGTTATTATTTATTGTATGCAGAAATCATCATTTTCATTTAGATAAAATAGATTCATAAAGCACTTAGGAATAGAAAATAGTTAGATATTAAGTTTTTAATATATATATATGTATTGTTGGTTATCAACGATTTGCACAGATGACTTTTTTCGTTGCGTTTCCACTTTTACTTAGAATTTTTTTTGTGTAAAAAGCATCAAGAATGCTTAGTTGTTGATAATGATCATTTTACTGATATGCATTTAAGAATATTTTATCATTGTTTTAGCTATTGTATGGCAAATGGTTGAAGAGTTTATACCACCATCTTGGATCGACAATGATGCAATAGACGATTCATAAGATAAAACTAAGAATAACATAGAAGGAGACTATTTACGAGTAATGATTGGTGATACATGACAATTAATGTTGATTTTTGCATGTGAACTTACATTTTTATATTTCTGTCTGTTGTATTTAATTACGAATTTATGCACTTCTGAAATTTTGATATATTTTTCTTATTATTATATTCTTCTATTAATTTATTCTTTTATATACGAATTTCAATTAGAAAGTTCGGACAAATTCAGACAAAAAATGTTTTATTTATTTTTTACGATAGTTTCAAACTTTGTATATTTTTTTAAAGGATTTTTTATTGTATTGACTTCAACAAAGACAGAAATATTGATACAATTGTTTTCATGTAAAAACTTTCTTTTGTTTTAAACTAGTGTATAATAATAAACAATAAAGCAAAAAAACGTTATGAACGTAATGTTGCAATGGAATTGAATTGTTTATTTTGAATAATAAAACAGAAACATTTTGACGCTGGCATCTTATCTAACATCTTCATTAGTATGTTTTTTTTCTGAAAACCAACTTCCATAACTTTTCGAAATAACTTCAATTCATCGTGAGTAATGTAAGAATGTTATATAATGCCATCAATCACTTTAATGAAAAATCATTGACAAAGAGCAATAATTTCAAATGTCTAAAGAGCTGCTTATGATTTCATGTTTATAAATAAGTAAAGAAAATTGTCATTTTGTTAAATGTAATAATGTGAATATATATGTTCATGATAAAATTGTCTTTTGAATAGAGATGAGAAACCGTAGTTTTCAAGATCATTTAACACAAAGATTTCAGTACTCTGAATAATTTTAAAGTTATGAATCAAAATAGCATAAAAATTCTAATATGGATCGAAACACTGAATAATTGTATCATTCAATAAAAAAAAAAACTTTGTGTTTTACAATTACATAGAATTATTATTGAATGACAACAAAGAATTTTAAGAAAAGAGATCTACATTTGTAATAGTCAATCGAAAACTATGCTTCGTTATAATGATAAAAAGAGGTTGGGATGCTTATATCTGACTAGTGGATTTTCAAGTGAATTTTTTTATAAATTTGAAGTTTACTGTCATATCAAAAAATGGTAATGAACATTGAATAAACAATTCTTTTTCTAACAGCTTGGTAAGAATTATAGACAAAACTCATGTTGTACGTTTGTGCGCAGTACACTGATATACTGTGATACGATGGTGGTGCGAAGATGGTCGACTATTTCAGTATCAAACTATCGCTGATTGATTGTCAATATACTGACAGCTGTTCGCCACTAGTGGTGAATATTGGCGATATAGTGCACATTATATTGAACGATCTACCAACAGTTTACGGGCGATATTTGTCGAGTTTGAATGACATGGGAAGCTCATGAACGACTATTGATCTACAAAATTAAGTTAAGATTGAGAAATGACGATATCCTTTAGATAGTCTACTGCATTAGAAGAAATTGTAAGTTAGATCAATATTTCTTTTTTAAATTATGACAGACATTATTGAAAAATGAGTCAAAACAATAATGTCTTTTTTCAGAAAGATAAAAAAAATCATCCACAAAGAAAATAAAGTCTTGTTTCATGCTTACGTACACCATCGCATTTCGAAATTCTTGTTTTTTTATGAATTGCATATACTTGTTGGAGAAAAATGGTCATTAGTTTTCAAGTACAATTATCTGACTAAAATAACATGTACAATCATTGAACAAATGAGACAAATTGAGATTTAATCCAAATCGAAAATTCATATCCAACCTCCAAAGAACAATATTAATATGCAAATACAATGCGTTTAACTTTGCTTCACAACGAGTGTATATATTCAGCAGGATAATAGAACAATATAATTAGAGGCGGAGAAAAAGAAATAGATTATAGAAGATAAATGAATAAAATATGAATTAAAGATAATTAATCGAAAAAAAAAGAGAGTATTATTATGATGAAAATAGATAAGATACTAGGGTTCGTAGAAGATAATCAGAAGAAATATTAACGAATAACCTAAATGAAAGACAATATATCGTTCTTTTTGAATGATCACTGAACGACATTGCTTTCGACAGTGTACCATAATTATATCGGCTTTGTCGGAACGGAATAAAATTTTCAAGACTTGTAGGACTCGTGTCTGTAAACGTGCCTACAGATTCAAAAATAAGTCAAAACCTTGTAAAGAGGCTCAAGAAGAGAGTGCTTGGGTTACCCAGACAAAATAGACCTTTTTTAGCTCTTCTGTTTCAAATGGTAAAAGTTTGCAAGTCCTACCATGGATACTAAAGTCATCAACACATTAGAAGACTTCCTTGAATAAACGACGCACAAGACAGATTAGAAGACTTCCTCGAATAGTTGACTTTTAGTTTTTATATCATGTTTATACTTTTTGTTTCTATATACGTGTGTATCTAATCTTCAATTCAATTTTTTTTTCTCCTGTTCTTTTTGACGTTCAAAGTGGTATGTAATTTAATTATGTATGTATGCGGCATGTAAACAACAGTGTCTGTTGTGATCAAGTTCATTATTTTTCATTTATTCTTCTCTCTTCACGAAAAAAACAACAATAAATTGTTTTCAGAACTGAATAAACATAAAAGATTTCTTATGGATAACGATCTAATCACAAATTCTCATCTATTACCATTAAATATCGACGATGATCAGATTGACCAAAGAATCTGAATCAGATAGCAGTTCAATTGATCCCAATATCGAAATTGACGATACAGAACAAGTGAATAATGGTATTATTCTACTCAATCTTGGTAATGACGACAACAGTAGTGAGGATGAACTTGAAAATTCAACAACTGCTGATAATAACGAAGAAATTTTTGTCCTATTCAAGCTTCAACATCTTCAACAGCAAAATCTACAGCTATTTCTACTCATCATAAACGTCAACAACGGAATTTCGAAGAGAAGCTCAAACTGTTTCCGAACTTAATGAAGGAACTTCTTTGTATGCACTCGAATTGAAATATAAAAGTACAAGAAAAATGATATGTCAATGGAAGAAGAGCGAAAAACCAGTTAATCAAGTTAGTGAAAGACAAAGATGGTGAAGGCAAAAAACGTAAACAAATCGATGGTGCCGATGCAAAATTAACATATTATGATTTGGATGAATATCTGATCAAGTGGTATCGATCGAAGCGAAGCTTAGATCAACCCGGATCAAATACAACGACTCGTAAACGGCCGTAAATGGTATGAAAACGGTGAAAAACGACTATCTTTACGATACATCCTAAACGACTAAATAATGTGGTGAACGATAGTCGGTCCTGGTGATCATTTACGTTCTACCGGAAACGTCGGTCGGTACGACTATCGTTTTTCGCCGTTATTGCATCTTATTCCGTGTATTAATCAAAATCCCTTGTTTACACATCATGCAATAGATGAAAGTGCGTAGATTATTGTTCCTTTCTGGAACCTACTAAGAAAATTGATTTACTTATCAAAACCGTAGCAATTACTATTTGAATACACAAATTCTCACAGGATCTTTTACTCATATTAGAGACTTTTGAACTCTTCGACATTGCTCAGATTTCAACAGGTTTTCCTTTTTACAGGATAACTATCGCCAACAACAGTAGAACAATAATTATAAATTTAATAACTATGAATGATTTTTTTCATTCAAATCATTTCAGTAAGAAATAAAATGGTAAGGTTGAGTTTTATCGGTATAAATGATTTTTTTTTAATCTGGATCATTTAAACCAGAAACAAAATGATACGTTTAAGTTTTATTAATAAAACTGTTTTTATTCTCATTTCGATCGTTCGAGAATAAATAGAATGGTACGATTAGATTTAATAAATAGAAACGTTTTTTTTTTCATTTAGATCATTTAAACAAGAAATATAATGGTAAGTTTAATTTTAATTAATATAAATGTTTGCCTTTATTTAGGTTACTTGAAGAAGAAATAAAATGATAAGTGTAAATTTAAATACGACGTCGTGTACGATGGTATACGGTCGTTCGCGATTATTGTATCTCGTTGTATACGATACGACAAGATACGGTGGTAATTTAGGAGTCCAGGAATACGATGAAATACAATCATAATATACAATGTAAACGTCAGATAACGATGTGTTTCGAATACAAAACGAGGAAAAAAGGGTGTTAGTACGGTTCATCGTTATTCGACAAAAACGATATGAAACGGTGCCGCTTCCGTTCCAGGGAAACACGCTCCGTAATCTGGTATGATAGATTACGGCCCTCATTTTTCACTGTTTACGGCAGGAATTAAACTGTTTTATAGCTGTTTTTGGCCGCATAAGACACCGTTTCAGGCGGTCAGAATGATTGGCCTGGTAAGAAAATGTGCATGTTTCAAAAGATAAAGTAACATTTAAAGCTATGATAAGGCAGGAACAACGATTTTGTGCTGAAATCAAAAGTAAAGAATCATCAAAAAAGTGATACGTAAAATTTCTCAAAAGGCGTCGATTATCATCACAAAACCTTGTAAGAAAACTAAAATTTCTCTTCCAGAAGGTCAATTATTAATGGAAAAATTTCATTCTTTCTTACGACGCGAAGCAGTCAATTATATCCACAACGTAGTGCCATGGGATGTTTTATTGAATCTGATGTTTATAATATGGACGAATCACCATTATATTTATGGGGTGATCAATCCAAACATTCTATCAACGATATCAGCGTCAAAAACAAAATCAAAGCTCATTAGAATGACAAACGCGCTGCAATAGTTATTTCATATGTTTCTTGAAGGTAATCATTGAATTGAACCTGTTCTTTTATTTCGAAGCACAGGAAAAGTTGCTGTTACAATAGAAGAAAAACATTATTCACCACATGTGAAAGTTTTCTTTTCACTCCTAAATCGGTTATTAACATATCAACTATAGAAAATATATAAATTGATGGTTAAAAAAAGTCAAAAACAGTAACCAATGTCGTATAGAACAGCTCATAAACGACTCGAAAACGGCGAGAAATGACTGTCGTTACGATGATTGTTTGCGATAGGCCGTAAAACAGAGAAATAGGGCGATACACGATATCCGTTACGGTGATCGTTTACGTACCGCCGAAAACAACTGTCGTTACGGACATTGTTTTTTTGCCATTTTCACATTGTTTTTCATCGTATGAAAAAAGTGTCTTAAAACCATTATTAGATACTTTCTAATAATGTATAATCGATTGATCAGTACCAATGAAAAGAACAAACAATATTTTTTTATTCAGGCTCCTTTTACCATCTGGTTCAATGGTAAGTATTTTAATGAAATACATATATATTCATTTTTTCTTATTTAGATTTCTCCGAACGAAAAATTTAGCAGTAAGCATATTAGTTAAATAAATATATTTATTTTTTTATTTGGATTTATTTGAATAAAATATTCAATAATAAGTATTTTATTTAAATTAATTAATTTTGTTTTTTGTGTTTATGGGGAGGTGGAAAGAGGAGAAAAAAAATTGTATTCGTCTTCACTGAAGAGAAACTTATGCGAATACGATGGCAAATGACTGTCGTAATGCCCGTCTGCAATAGTACAGAAATTGAGTCGTAAACGAGAAAAAACGGTCTAAATAAGACACTATGTGACAAGAATGTGGTCCTAATATCACTCATCGTTACACACAGGAAGTGACCTTCAACAGCGTCGTTTATGTTTCGACGAAAAACGGCTCATGATTCAAGCTGACAGAAAATGGTGAAAAACGGTGCTTGTTTTTGATCGTTTGGGGCAGTAATCACACCGCTTTTTCACCACTTTAGGCAGTTTAAGGCGTCGTTTTAGACAGTCAGAATGATCGACCTGGCAATCGTAACTTTTTATCATTGATACCTATACCAGCTATCTGAATGAAGATTTGACAAAAAAGAATGCGAGACAACGGTGTGTGTTTGGCAATTATTCCAAAATGTTGTACTCAATATATTCAGTTAATGAATGTATACGTATTTTCTGCTTTCAAGAATCATTACTATGATTGTGCTGAAGAATTCCTGGAATTGAATGGATCTTATTTGAAATTGGAATTAACATCTTCTCAAAAACGTATTTTATGCACAAGATTAACTGCTTCGGCATGATCTCGTACTTTAAAATCAATTAATTTTTAGAATGCATTTCGTTCACTGGGCTATACTTGGACTGATAATTCAATTATTCAACCAACTCATATAAAATAATACAAGTTTGATCCAAGTTCTATTGAATGAAATGAACCAGAGACTGATCACCAGAACCGTGATGCAGAAAAAGATGAACAAATTACAAGCTCAATAAAGAAATCTCAACGCAAACAGGTGATCTTGAAAGATATGTGAAAAAACAAAAAATTGTAACTTTTTTTCTATTTGATCGCATGAAATAATAACATTTTATGAGTGAATTCCTTTATCCTGTAAAAACTACTCGTAATATGAAATGTCAATTAATTGTATTTTGTGTGACTTCATATATTTTATTTGTTTCATGTAACTCGAATAAGCTAACATAAAACACGTATTCATTTTTATATAAGTATTCAAAGAAATTTTATATAGTGTATTATCTAGTGTAAGGGCTGTCGGAACGGCGCCCTCTAAATATCGAGTTGGCCCTCCAGAATTTCGTGGCTATTATACTACGTGTCTGCACTTCCGAAAAATACGTGTTCACCCTCTCGAAGTTTGAAATTGCTTCTCTGAAAGAGAAAATCTAGTTAAAACAGTGATCTCATAACAATACTATTAGTAGCATAAGCAATTGGAAGCTAGAGGATTTCCGCTTCCTCTGCAGATATGTAGTCAGAGGACTGAGTCTTTGCCTGTCACTCTACAATTTTTTTCCGGTAATGCCACAAAATACTATGTTGCCAACTTCTTTAATGTCATCATTAATTTTACATAATTAAATTTTTATTGTATTTTCTATCAATATTGTCATATTAGTTAATTTTTTTTTCTTCTATCAACAAAAATTCAACGAAATCTTTTCTTTCAAAACCACACTATTATTTAGCTGATTTATCTGTAAGGGTTGATGATAGAAAAAAAAATAGTCATATATTTATAACTGAGACCATTATTACTTTCTTCGTCGCTTATTTTTCTTGTTATTCTGCTCTCGATTGATCATATCTGTATGACAGGAAAGTCAGCAAGAAAAAGCATGAAAAAAAACTAATTAACCTTGTCTATCATGTGCTTTGGATGTTTTATCTATTTTTCATCTGATTTAATTACTTTTTTTATTGACATTTTAGTGCAAAAAATATTGAATAAGTAAGAGATATAACATTATTTCAATGTGCACAAGCGTATTATTTTCTTCACGACGAATAGCATTGGTTTATTTTTTCGAAGTAGATGAAACAAAAATCCTAGCATTCTTAAGCCTATAAAAAATATGTTATTCCATGATCTGTATCCAAAAAAACCAACATTAACTTCATCGATATCAACATTGTTAACAGAATTAAGAAAAAATGTGTTGTATTTTTTGTCCGAATTATAACTATGAAAGCATAATGAAACTATTCGGCAAATACAACACGAGCTTTTGGCATAGTTTGAACTTACATTCTTTTCCTTATAATTGGTGATGAATTAGTCCAGTCATGTTCTATTTCATCTCTAACTGTATTTCTTGAACCTCGCTCGAATATTAGAAAAAAATAAAAATTTTGAGTAGGATAATTACGTTTTTTGGTTGTTTTTTTTTGCGTTACATTATAAATGACTGTCATTCTTGATTTTTCGCTTCGTTCTATTCGGTTTTACTCCTCTCATATTCTTTTTGAAACATATAAGACTATTTTTTATGCCTATATTTTCAACATCATAGAATACTTAACAAATTTTTGTTCTTTTAATTTAGCAAAAATAAATATGAGTTCGGATAGTAGCAAAAAAGATGAACGGTATACAACTTCTTGTGGTCATTGTACATTTACATTACCTGTGCGATATCAAGATTTAGTTCTTATTGGACAAGGAACTTATGGTATTGTAGTGTAAGTAGAAATAATCATTTCATTTTCTTTTCATAATTATTGAATTTGTTATTTAGTCGTGCAACTGATACTGTACGTATTATTATGAACATGATTAAAAAGAAAAAAAACATATATAATTGTATTGTAGGCAACAGGTAAACACGTAGCTATTAAAAAAATTCTTCGTCCTTTTGAAACTGATATACATGCAAAACGAACTTATCGAGAACTTAAACTACTTATGTATCTCAATCATCCTGATGCACAAGTTTGTAGAAATGATTGTTTTAGATTTGTCGAAAGTCGTTTGTATTTTTTTATACTTTAGGTGGTACAATTATATAATGTATTTACACCTGAACAGAATGTAAACGAATTTCGAACAATGTATGTGATAAAAATATCTTTATTTATTGAAGATTTTTAGTTTTTTTTTGTCTTTTTCAACAGATACTTAGTATTGAACTTTGTTGACCGTGACTTGAATAAACTTCTATTGCAACGTGTACCATTTACAGAGCAAGTCATTAAACTAACTATCTATTCAATTCTTCGTGGTTTGAAGGTATTATAAATTTCCTCTCGATATTTATTAAATATAATATTTTTCTTTTTCTTTATTATTCTAGTTTATTCATTCAGCTGGGGTTCTCCATCGTGTACGTGAAACCAAGGCGTTTTCCTATGTTAAAATTTTTATTGTATTCTATTAAAATAGGATTTAAAACCAACAAATATTGGAATCGATCGAAATAGCAATGTTACAGTAAGTATTGTATAAAAACATTGAATTTGATAATCTTGTCGAAGAAAATAACGAATGCACTAGACTACTATAAATTTCACAGAATTTTCATACAATATCAATTGATTTTCGGTTAGCAAAAAACTCGAATTGTTTCCTCATAACTGATTTGTGGTATACATAAATAAGCGCGCATTGAACTTGTCATCCTATTTTACACAATATTGAAACATACTTTCTTTGTTAAAGTTGACATTTCAAGTAGTTTGAAAGTATTAAAATCTTATAAGCAACAAGTTCAGTTTGGAAATGTGCTTTGTACTGAGTTCTGATTATGGGTTTAGTCTGTCTACTATCTAATTTCGTTTTGTATATGATAGTTTTCTCTTCAAAGAAAATAGATTTTGTTGTTGTGAATAAAAACGATTGAAGAACAATAGAATAATGATGGAGAAAAATACAAACGAAGTTCATTTCAATATTTTGTAATTTTAGAAGAACGTTTAAAGTGATGAATTTTAGTCGATGCAAAAACTACTTGCTGATAAAGACTATAATTAGAAAACTATTTTCACAGATGAACAAAGCAGTTTATTGTGATATTATGTTTTAAATGAACGATAATCTAAAGAAACTGTTTAATTGTTGATTTGATTGATAAAGAACTCCTTCTGGATACGCGTCCGGAGTAAAATATAATTTTCGGGAAGATAGTTTTATGTTTTATTTGATATGTTCTTTTTAAAATATTTTCCGCAAATGTTATTGACATATTTTGTCAGATTATTCACTCATAATATATATTGAGTAAAATCAAGAGAATATCTGTTCATTACATGTTTTCAGAGGTTTAAGTTGATCGTATCAGATTCAAAAACGTTTAAATTATTCAATCTTCAGTATCGGTTTTCTTGTTCATCTGTGCTTAATTTCTTATCGATGTATTCTCTGTGACCCTTTTCTTCTTTTTCGAACTTAAAATGTTTCGGAACTAAGAACATTTTAGAAAAAAAACTCATCAAAACCTTTCAATTTTCAATGTTGATATACTTGAGACCTGTATTGTCGGATTTTTTAAACTGTCAACCATCATTTTTTGAATAACTCTCGACTGTTTATAGCTATCTAACGTGAGTTTTCGCTATTAGATAGAGCAATGTTGGAGACATCTATCTGTGTAACATTTATTAAGTTTGAAGAAGTTTTTGAAGGATATTTGCAGGTGAACATATTTTTCGTTGTCCATTTCTACAACTTTTCGTAGCAGCTCAGGCTCAAAGTACAGCAAAACGACAGAACTGTCAGTCTGAACTGATCCGTCCATATAATTTTGGATTAGGCTAACAGGCAAGGCCAAGTCAAATATGTTGGTCTGCATATCATGTAATATTATTCTTCCTGGGGTAACTTAAAACATAACATCAGAAATTCATGATTTTGTGAGAGTAAGGGTGTGGGTCCTCTCTGCACTCGTAGTCACCTACACTCATATACACGCTCACTTCTATCTCTTCGTTCAAGGCCTGATCGTATGTTGTTGTTGTTCTATCATAATTATAGTTTTCGGATCATGTGGAATAGTACTGTTATATTCAAAAATAGTTTGATAAGTATAATGCTTTCCGTATGAGAAATATTTTTTATGATTTATCTCTTTTTAATTCACTATTTAATCCAAGAGCTTGTAATTATACTATCCTCATTAAACTAAATTAAGTTTATAAATGAAACTAGAATGATACATTATAATTAGATTATAGAATTTAATGAGCTTAAGGAAAAAGAAACATCAGTCGCTTTGGTTTGCCATGAAGAACATTCGTTTACATTTAGTCTGGTGTGCAGGCCACCGAGCCAGTCCAAAGCAAACCGAAAAAAGCTGTCCGCTGACAAAACTGATTTCTATATTCACTTACATTTCTCTACTTGTTTTTGTTTTTTTGAAACAATTCTCCATTGGTGGTAATCTCTTTTATTTTATAATAGATTCTTGATTTTGGATTAGCGCGTGTTGCAACCATTGGTTCTCCCACTGCCTATATTTCTACAAGGTATGTCAATCATTATTGTTTTATCTGTAAGACTACTATAAGAAATTTACTTTTTGTTAGATGGTGGCGTGCACCAGAAATATATGTCAATGACCAAAACTATGATGAAAAAATTGATATATGGTCTGTTGGTTGTATAATGGCAGAACTAATTCTACTTAAACCACTTTTTCCTGGAGAAACTACTTATAATCAGTTAAATAAAATATTTGATATTATTGGTACACCCGATTCAAAAACATTACAAGAGACATGTACACCAGGTTTGTACAAAAAGAAAACAAAATGAAACTCATATTTTGAATAATATCGATAATTGAAAAATAGAATTCTTCATTCACATTGAAATAAGAATACTTTTTCAATTATCATCAATTCATGTGATATAGAGTTCACTAATATTATAAAATATAAGCAATATTTTATATGAAAAATTTTAGAAGTATCTGCTTATATGAGTCGACTGGAACTTAAACCAAAAAAAAATTTTAATGAATTATTCGGTTATCAAATTGATCCATCAACAGGAAAAACAATATCTGGTGTTTCAGCACAAGGTAAACTTAGAACAAAGAGAAAGAAAAAAATGAATTGTACTTATTTGATTATAGGTGTTGATTTACTTGATCAGCTTCTATCTTTTGATCCTCGTCAACGTCCAACTGCTGAACAAGCCCTAGGTAAATTTTCATAATATAATTACACGTTAATTATTCTTTATATCCTATTTGTTGTTTAGATCATCCGTTTTTGGAATGTTGTCATGATCCAAATGATGAACCAACTATAGAACCTTTGATTGACGAATATCAAAATGCAGAATATACTGAAGAAGAATGGAAATGTAAGTCATTTAAATAGAAACTTCGTTGTTATTATTCATAGCACTAAGAAATCATCATTTTCATTTTGATAAAATTGATTGATAAAAAATTTAAGAATTGATAATAGTTAAATATTAATTTTTCTAATATATATATATGTTGTTTGTTATCAACAGTTTGTATCCATGATTTTTCCTCATTATTTTTTCACCCTTTTAATTAGAATTTTTTTTTTCTGTAAAAGACAAATCAAGGACGACAAGATATCGATAATAAATATTTTACTAATCTGTATTTAAAAATATTTTATCATCATTTTAGCTATTATATGGCAAATGGTTGAAGGATTTATACCACCGTCTTGGGCCAATAATGCTGCAAAGGACGATTCATAAGATAAAACTATGTACAACATAGAATAAGACTATTTCGAAGTTATGAGTGTTGATACATTACAATGACTGTTGATTTTTGCATGTAAACTTACATGCTTATGTTTATGTCTGTTGTATCTAATAATGAATTGTACTTTTCCGGAAATTTCCGTATATTTTTCTTTTTGCTATGTTCTTCTATCAGTTTTTTCTTTTTTTATACAAACTTCCATTAGAAAGTTTCGATAAATTCAGACGAACAATGTTTTGTTTTTCTGGACAATCGATGAAGCTTTGTACATTTTTCGATACTTTTTCATTATATCTGTTTCAACGAGCATAGAAGTATTAATATAAATTTTGTTTATATGAAAACTTTCTTTTGTTTTGCATCAGTCTATAATAATGAAGAATATAGAAAAAAAGTTATGAAAGTAATGTTGGAATGGAATTGAATTGTTTATTTTGCAAAATAAAAAAGAAGAATTTTGACGCTGACATCTAATCTAGAATTTCTATCAGATTGTTTTTCTTTTTTGAAAAAAGGCGGTGTGAGTTTGAATCTTCGCTTGACATAATCACACTTCCACGTTTGCGGTAATACCCATTGACCACCATGAAACTTTCAGCAATTCAAAATCTTACTATCCTAACATCTTTAGTAGAAAAATCCTTTGGACTTTTAATCAGCATCATAATTTTCTTGAGACCACTAAAATACCAACATTTGGCCTATAAAGACTATTTCCATGTTATTTCATCATTTTCAGGCATTGACTTTTTTCTTTCAACTACAAACTAAAATAGAAGTTTTCTATATGTGTATATAGCACTAAGTTAGTAGCTTCGGTACATCACTATATGCGCTCATTTATATCATCAACATAGAGATTTGACCGATGCGAGATTATGCGACACATGAGAAAATTCTAAAAATGGCCTATTTTCTAATGTACTGTTTGGCATCATTATATAATGAATACCTATCGATTTGTATAACTTGATCTACCAATAGAAATACTTTAAACATATGATTCCTTTATTTTTAGATAGGCATTAGATATATATTTATTTAGCATGAATAAAATTAGTAGCTAATCATCGTATTATGATGGTGAACAGAACACCTGAAAACAAACTATTGTTGCCATTTTCTCATTTTTCGCATAATGTCCCATCGGATCAATCCATAGATGAATGGTATGAATGAGCAGAAATAATATTATACAGAACCTACTAACTTAGTATTGTATATCTATGTATAAAAATTCTAATTAAAGTTTGTATTGATAGAAAAAAGTCAACACCTTAAAAGAATAAAAAAATCATGGGAATGGTCATTATAACCGAAAAGATGATATTTTGTAATTCGGAAAGAAGCGTGATACCGACTGAAAGTTCGTAGGATTTTGTTTATCAATAGTCTTACGGTAGTGAGATCTTCAGTCACTGAAAGTTTCAGCTCGAATGTAGATACTTTGGCATAATGTGGGAGATTCTTGATGGAATTATCCAATATACAGTATTGGACAAAATTATAGAACCACTTCACAGATGGCCTTTTTATTTCAATGGTTTTTCGGATACAATATATTGTCGTCCTAAATTTATTGTTCTATATAGAATTAGATATGTTCTTTCAGAATATCATGAGAAAAGTTTATTATTTCATATATTTATCAGAACAAAAAACTTTCAAGAAAAATCGTATAAGTTTTGATGTTCAATATTGTAAGACCACTTCATTTCTTTTGAATATTTTTTCGAGTACTCTTAATACACTGTTGAATACGATGTGACATGGAATCGATTCACTGTTAATACTCTATAGATATTACACAACGCCAAATATCTTGAATCATTTTCTGTAGTTGTATAAGATTCTTCAGTTTCAGTTTTCATAACTTTTTACCAATATGATCCCATAAATTTTCTATGAGACTAAGATTAGGATATGTAGCTAGTTATTTTAGTACATTTATATTATTATTTTTAAATCATTTCATGGAATAGTTCGATCTCTGCGTTGGCGCATTGTCCTATATGAACGCCCATTCTTTGTTTGATGAATCAAATGCGTTTTCGACGAATATTGGTAAGGCTTCTTCAATTATCTTTATATATGTCGGTCCATTAACTTTACCAGAACACATCATCAATAGATCACGAATACCTTCTGACATACACTTCCATACGCTATTATATCCACTATGATCTTGCACCCTTGGAAAGGAATTAAATAGTTCATTGGCTTCGATTTTTAAGCGTTGAACAAACGTACGATTTTTACAATTAAATATTCCAAAATATGTCTTATCACTCCAATTCGAGTAGTTGCACGCTTTCAACCAACTCTGCTGTTCTTTTGACAAAAGTAAGTCGTACTTTTTGTTGTCCAAGGTTTCAAAATGGTTTTGGTTTTACTGTATAGCTTTTGTACTCCATATCCAAAAGATGATGACGAATTGTCAGGACACATTATTGCTTACTATTTAAAAGTACTAGTTTGGATGATAATTTCTAGCTGGTTTTCGTTGAATCTTGTTTTCATAAATGTAATAAATTTCGATCATCAGTTATTGTTGATGCCTTTTTTTTTGCGCCTTTGACCAGATGAATTCGATAAAGGTAATTTTTGTTTTAATTTTTTTACTGCGCCTACAATGCACGTTTTTGAAACATCAAGTTTCTTGGTAACATGACGTTGACTAAACGTAGCTTCCGATAAAGTTTTAGTTTCAGTTTTCTTCTATAAAGATATTTTGGACTGCTCATGGCCACTAGTTACAAAAGTAAAATATTGCTTATAAAAAAAAGAATATCAGACGAGACACATTTATAACAAGTAAAATAATATTACAAGAAGTCTCGTTTCATTCATATAATATCTCATCAATGAGTGATCTAAATCATGATAAAAAAGGAAAAGGTAAAAATATTCGTAGTGGCCTTACAATTTTGACTTGCACCTATCGTCAGATCGCTGAGCCTCTGACTACAACTTTTTTCTGGTACCGATATAAAATACTCTATCACCAACTTGTTCAATGTCATTATTATTGTATTTTCCATCAACATTGTCATATTGGTTAAATCTTTATTTTCTTCTATCAACAAAAATTCAACGAAATCTTTTCTTTCGAAACCACACTACTATTAAGCTGATTCATATGCGAGGCTTGATGATAGAAAAAAAACCAGCCATATATTTGTGACTGAGACTATCATTATTTTCTTTCTCGTACATTTTTCTTACTGTTCTACTCTCGATTGATCGTGTCTATATGATAGAAAAGCGAACATGAAAGAGCATGCAAAAGAAAAAGGTAATCGACCCCATCTATCACGTGCTTTGGGCCTTGTATGTATTTTCATGTGATTCGATTACTTTTTTTTTACTGATAATTTAGTACAAAAAATATTGAATAAACAAGAGAAATAACATTATTTCAATGTTCCAAAATGTATTATTTTCTTCACGACAAATAACATCGATTCGTTTTTCAAACTAGACGAAACAAAAATCCTGGCATTCTTAAGCCTATAAAAAAGTATGATTTCATGATCTGTATTAAGAAAAACTAACATTACCTTCATCGATATCAACCTTGTCAACAAAATCAAGAAAAAATGTGTAGTATTTTTCGACCGACCTATAATTGTGAATGCGTCATCTATCAATTCTTTCTTTTTTTTTTTTGAAGTTTAATATTTTACGGTAAACATATATGGAGGGTTTTCACATGAGTACGATAATGACCTGTTTTGGGTCGTTTTTTTCCTTCGCTGTACCGATAGCGGTCGTTCTTGATTGTTTGCTTCATTCTGTTCGTTTTTACCTTTCTTATATCCTTTTCGAACTATATAGGACAACTTTTTTATTTTGTTATTTTCAACATGATAGAATACTTAACAGATCGCTGTTTCTTTCATTTAGCTACAATTAATATGACCTCGACTAGCTACAAACAAGATAAATGGTATACAACTTCTTGTAGTCATTGTACATTTACATTACCTTTACGATATAAAGATTTAGTTCTTATTGAAAAAAAAACTTATACTACTATAGTGTAAGTAGAAATATTGATTTCACTTTCTTTTCATAATTATTGAATTATTATTTAGTCGTGCGACTGATACTGTATGTATTATTATTATGAACATAGGTAAAAGAAAAATATATAAATATATATTGTATTTTAGACAACTGGTAAATATGTAGCTATTAAAAAACTTCTCTGTCCTTTTCGAACTCACATATATGCAAAACGAACACATCTAGAACTTAAACTTCTTATATATCTCAACCATCATGATGCACAAGTTTGTAGAAATGATTGTTTTAGATTCGTCAAAAGTGGTGTATTTTTTTCGTACTGTAGGTTTTACAATTGTGTGATGTATTTACACCTGAAAGAAATGTAAACGATTTTCAAACATTGTATGTGATAAAGATATCTTTGTTTGATGAAGATTTTTAGTTTTAGTTTTTTGTATTTTTCAACAGATACTTTGTATTAAATTTTGTTGAGTATGATTTGCATCAAGTTATACAATGTTATGAATCAATCACAGAGGAACGTATTAAACTAATTATCTATTCACTTCTTCGTGGTTTGAAGGTATTATAAATTTCTTCTCAATATTTATTAAGTACTCAGGGCATACCAAAAGTTCTGGTCATGACATTTTAAATTTTACAAAACACTTAGCACCGACGGTTTTATTGCATGAATACATAGTAAAATGTCTCATCTACAATAATGCATATAATAACTCTATCTTGGATTTAATTCTAGCATTCTTTTAGATAAAGTCTATAATATAATGATTACGCGAATATTTGTCTATCCCTTGTCTAATTGTTGAGTATATGCTGGAACTTCTCACATTTTTTATTTCTCTTTCGTGTGACATTTCCTGACGTCATGTTCAAGAATATTACATTTCGATAGTATATATATAGAGTGAGTGTTCGTTCATTGTCAGAATGTGAGTGTGCGTGTGGATTATGCCTTCTATTTCTTTATACCTACACCCACACCCACATCCACACCTCCACATATATGACGTCAGAAAATGTCACACGAGAAAGAAATGAAAAATGTGAGAAATTCCAGAATATACTCAAAAGTTAGACAAGGGATAGTCAAATATTCCTGTGGTCATTATATTATAGGCTTTATGTAAAGGAATGCTAGAATTAAATCCAAGATAGAGTTATTATATGCATTATTATAGACGCGTCATTTTACTATGTATTCATGCAATAAAACCTTTGATACTAAACGTTTTATAAAATTTAAAATGCCATGGCTAGAACTTTTGGTATGTCATAAGAATCATATTCTTCTCTTTCCTTTTTCTTATCTAGTTTATTCATTCAGCTGGTATTATTCTTTGGGTACGTGCACCTAAGACATTTTCTTGTATTAAAAATTTTTTTATTGTATCAAAATAGGATTTAAAACCAACAAATATTGGAGTCGATCGAAATAACAATGTTACAGTAAGTATTGTATAAAATATTTTCACATAGTAATCGATTAGGATACTCTTTTGATTCGAGTGGCTTTTCTTCCACAAAATTTTCCTTCTACCGAAACTGTATTGATTTTGTGTTGACTTCACCAAATTTTGTTAAGGTGTGAAGTACTGTACAATAGTCGATCGCGAGTTTGTTTTTTTCTCCAAACTTATCTAGAAATCGTCATTTTGTATCACAATGTTTCGAAACTTCGATATGAAGTTACCGTTCGTTCTGAATTTTCTCCACAAAATGACGATTTTGCAGTGAGAAAACTCCAGTTTGTTTTTCAAGATAATGAAAATGATTTTCAGCAGCAACAGTCAGCGTTTATTAGATCGAGTGTAGCTGCTATCTTTCGAAGTTTTCGTCATATCGAAGATCAGTAATTGAAATTAAAAATCTATATGTTACTCTCGTATTTCAAGCGAAACCAAAATGTTTATGACTGCACATAAATTACTTTCTGATTTATTGAAATTGTTAAGCACTATTAAGGAGTTCACAATGTTAGTTAAGTATCACATAAATAATGAATTTATACTTGTCGGGTACCACATATATAACAATTCATCAGAGATTCTCATGAAATATTGCTTTATATGATATGATCTATTAAGAGTCTTTTAAAGCAATTCCATCATATATATAGATGTCATCAACTCCAAATACATTGTTCTTCACATCTACATTCTATTTCTCTCAGTAACAGGGAGCCAAAATGAATCGGAGAAAAAAAATGAATGAAAATTTAGCCAAGAATTCTCGTGCACCACAGTACCATAAATTTTATAGATTGTTGATACAATAACTATTAATTTCCGATTAGCACAAAACTTGTTTTGTTTCCTAGTGATCCATCTCTGGTGTATATAATTAAGTGGGTATTAACCTCGTCGTTCTACTTTGTAGCTTTTTTCGCTAAAGTTGATATTTCGACTAATTCGAAGATTTTTGTAATCTCATAAATAACGAGTCCAGTATGGCAATGTGCTTCGCATCACAGGGCTACAATGTGCACTATCTAGTTTTGTTCTTGATATGTTAGTTTTCTCTTCAGCGAAAATAGGTTTTTTTATGTAGTGAATGTCAACTATTAAAGAACAATAGAATAATGATATAGAATCTGAAAAATAAATCATCAAAAACTTTCAAATGTCAATATGATCGACACTTCTAGTCACCATCGATTTCTACATTCACTTACATTTCTATACTTGTTTTTGTCTTTTCGAAACAATTCTCTATTGGTGGTAATCTCTTTTATTTTATAATAGATTCTTGATTTTGGATTAGCTCGTGTTGCACCGATTGGTTCTGACATTGATTATAGTCCTACCAGGTATGTCAAACATTGTTATTTTATTTTCAAAACTTTGATAAAGAAGTTATTTTTTGTTAGATTGTGGCGTGCACCAGAAATATATCTCAATAAGAAAAAATGTGATGAAAAAATTGATATATGGTCTGTTGGTTGTATAATGGCAGAATTAATTCTACTTAAACCACTTTTTTCTGGAAAAGTTACAATTAATCAGTTAAATAGAATATTTGATATTATTGGTACACCCGATTCAAAAACATTACAAGAGATATGTATACCAGGTTTGTACAAAAAAATAATAAAATGAAACTCATATTTCTAATAATATCGATAATTGAAAAATAGAATTCTTCATTCACATTGAAATAAGAATACTTTTTCAATTATCATCAATTCATGTGACATAGAGCTCACTAATATTATAAAATATAAGCAATATTTTATACGAAAAATTTTAGAAGCATCTGCTTATATTACCCAGTCAGACAAGCCTCTTGAAAAAACGCGTTAAAACGCGTTAAAATTTCGTAAAAACGGCGTATTTATGATAGGTGTTCGTTAAAACGCCGTTTTAACGAAATTTTAACGCGTTTTAATGCGTTACAACATTCAAGCGTTAAAATATGTAGATTTTTTCCCCAGATTTACGCGTTTTTATGCGTTAATAACTCGAAATTCATGCATTTTTAGGCGTAATTGTTTTAACGAGTTTTATTATGTGCAACAGTTACTAGTTATTTATGTTTTTTTCTGAGAGAAGTAAACTTCTTCAAACCATTTAACGCGTTTCTTGAGAATATTAAAAAGATAGAATCTTTTGTAAGGTAATTTATGCTTATATAAACACATCGGATATGCTTTGAGACTTGTTATGCAAGTGAAAAGTGATTGTTTTGAAGAACCATAAAAAAAGAATGAAGAATACTTCTGAAACAGATCAGGATTATTTGGCTCTTCTACAACTGTCAGTATACGTGTTATCCATTTCAAAATAAAAAAGTTAAGTATTTTTCGAATATTTTTTTATGGGAATTAGATAGCGATTTGCGGTTTTCACCATTTAAAAGACGCGATGAAACTACATAGAATAGTCAATATCGAGTTTTTCTAGTGCAGTTTTTTACAGGTCGGCTGCCAAGGGCTTTAAGAAATTGAGGCTTTTTGACAGGATTAGAAGATGGATTTTTTGAGAAAAAAACTGAAAAACAAAAGCGATTTTTTGTTTGAAAATACATCAAAAATACTTAGTAAAGTCTTCGTAACATGTGATGAGGTAAATCTTTGAGCATCGGGCTTATAGAGATTATTGAGCTTTAGTTAATCATTCTGATGCGTTACTAAATAATAAAACTTCAAAATTCTTACATTACGGAATGTTTTGTTGTTGGAAAACTTGTTAGAAAGCCATGAAAAAGCGTGCCAGAAAAATCTGGTATTGTTATTTTAATGCAATTTCATTGCCTCTTTTAAATGATAAAAACCTCAGGTCTCTATGTAGTTTCCATCAAAAATGACTCTAAAAATACTCGCCCTTCATTTTTTTTTGAAATAGATAATACATTCTCATCATGTATTGCATCACTTGTTTGTAAATTCCTTTACATGAAAGTGAAATTTGATGCTAATATACGTGCGAGATCAGATAGTTGTTCACTTTAATTTACTTGTATGCAAATAACACTTACTATGATAAATAATCTAGAAGTTAAATGATATTAAATAAAACACTTGAGCAAATTTGTATGATAGAAAAATGAAAAGAAAAAGAAACATCGATGAAAAACAGTAGCAAACAGTAGCTGTTTTTAAAGTTTCTATTTAGATTCTAGACGATTTGGAAATAGATGGAATTCCAAAACAGAATTCAGATTTTCATTCGATCGATATACAACTTTTTCTCTGATTGAATCATAGTGAATCGAAACAGTGGTCTGACTATATCAGCCGGTTGTTGTCCGACTAGACAAAAGATTTTGCTATACATCATATCCAAGAAAATTTAGTTTTTCTCTATTTCATTTTTTTGTAGTTGAATCTACAATTTCACATTAGTCGCCAGTTTTAACTAATCATATGCAAGTAATTTTTTGCTATGAATACAGGAAAATTTTAGAACCTATTTAAACATGATATGTTCCATTGAAACAATCGAAGAAAAATAAAAGTTTACTATGAAGACATTCAAATAAAAATTCAAATTTCATGAGTTTGATTTGTCGGTGTGCTGGAAAAATGTCGAAAGGAAAAATATCGAAGGGAGAAAATGTCGAAAGGAAAAATATCGAAGGGAGAAAATGTCAAAAGGAAAAATGCAAAAAGAAGAGACATGTTGAAAAGTAAATATGGAAGTAGAAGAATGTAGTGACAGAAAAATATCGAAAATGATGATGTCTCCAATAAATTGTGACTCTAACCACGTCTAGTTCATTGTTATTTTTCTTATAATTCTAATACTATAGAAGTTTCAGTAACCGTGATTTTGAGGACTAATATGTGATAAAAATTAAATAAAAGAGTTAAGCGAAGAACTATTATATTAACTAAAATTCTATCGTCATGGCTCAAACTGCTACGTCTCAAAGTGACATAACCCGATCAGTATCTCTAGCTTTTCATTTATAAAATCAAACAAAGAAAAATCTTTACTCGTAGTAGATGACTATGTTTTCGGACAGAATAAAAAACAACCAATAGTTGTTACGCAGAAAAAATTATAGATCAATTTTTTTCATTATCGGCATCTGGTTACTGTTGTATATTAACACTAACTCATATGACATAACATGTTCCTCACTATTCACAGCTCTTCAAAATATTTATCAACCATTTTTCTGTCGATATTATTTTTTCGACATTTTTCCTCGTTCGTGTTTTTTCTTTCGAAATTTTTACGGCCAACTGATTTTTCTGACCTCTTTTGACGGTTTATTTAAGCTTTGCTGTAGTTTATTTATAGAATAATATAAAATATCAAAAATTCTCAGTTTGAATTGTTTTGATATTATCTCATCGTCATTCTGAGAAAATATTTTAAGTCGACAAAAAGTGACTTAAAATAACCCACCTGTTTATACATATATTGAAATATATTGTTCATTTTTTTCCAAATCCCTAAAGTGTTAATTTGAACGAAAAATGCAGTTTAGTGTATGCATCAATTCGATTTGATTAAAATTTCGCTAGAATATTCTTCTGTTACACTATTTAATGATCTGAATTTTGTTCTGGGTTTAACTTAGTGTTCTCTGAATATAGAGCAAAATAAAAAATATGTGGCGCCATCTATAATGAGATTTTCTATTTTTCTCAGAAACAATTGAATCAAATTCTAAATGAACTTCAGATCGATAAATAAAAAAAACAACAGAATAGCCTTTAGAAATCTCATTCGAAGATATATTTAAGCATATCGAAGTTTATTATTTTCGTAAATTCATCAGATTGTCGATAGTCGGTTCCAATTAGTGTGGGTTTGCATTCGTGCATTATTAATGTTAATTATTTCGTCTATTTCCTTGGTAAGTGTTAAATTTTAATTATTTCAGTGAAATTTTGACTGTAATTAAGCAAACTGCCCCAGTCAGATAAGATCAATAAAAAAAACGTTGTTATGTGTAGGAATATTAGGTTTTTACTTTTTCGAAAAAAATATTTTTGGGAAAAATAGCGAATTTCAAGCCAATACGATTAGAGAACTTGATTTTTAGAACAGAACTCTCTTTTCACTGTAAACAGCGAATAGTTTTACTTGTTAAAACACTTTATTATGATTCTTTCTCTGACTGGCAAATGGTACCAAAACGCATCAAACATATATATTATAATTTTCTTTAAGACAACACTCACTTATTAGATAAAAATTCTTATAGTAATTATAATATTTTTGTTAGTAAACTTTCTCGTCTGAGTGATGAAGCTCATGTCAGTCGTAGATAGAATTTTTAATAAGCCAAAAATTAAGCAAAAGACGAATATCTAATTTTTCTTTTTCCCAGTTTCTAATAGTACCCGTGTCATGATCAGCTTAACAATAAAAGATAGATCTTGCAATCGAACATATTTATATATATATATATATATATATATATATATATTTATACATGGATAGATAGGTAGAAAGGCTTATAGATAAGTAGATAGATAGGTATATAGGTTAAAAGATAGATAAATGGGTAGGTAGAAGGATAGATAGATAGGTAGGTAGGTAGAAAGATAGACTGATAGATAGATCGAATAGGTTCAAAGTTCAACAATTCATTTGCTGGGTCTGAAAAATTTCAATGAACGAGATTAATACGGCATTACATTATGAACCTATTTTGGTCTGTAGATATATTTATATCTTTGGTTTAAGATCTTTTTATTCTTAACTTGATGACACAAATACTATTGAAAGCTGATAAATAAAGAAATGAAAAGTTTCATATTCGTCTTTTATTTAATTTTGCGTTACTGATCCTTTTATTTCTGAGGTGAGCAGAGCACTAGAGAAAATATTTGAAATTTGCAGACCTACTAGCTAAAAGAAAGTTCATATGAGATCTTAGCTATTTTCAAATCATTATGACAATGTTAAAATATTGAAGAACTGATCTCTACATTTTTTTAGCGAACTAAGTCTTTAAATTTGAAATATTTCTTCTACCCAACGCGAAAACTATTTCAGATGCCTCTTGCGATTGCTATTATTCTTTTAATTGAATATACTAAATAGTACTCTAATAAACATCCTACAAACACTTGAGTTTCCACTTAGGTTTGACTAAGCTATCCAATTTTTCAAATATTTCCTTTCACGAGGTCTTGTGGCACCACGAGGTTTTAGAAAAATCAAATTTTTGAATGTTGACTCGAACTTTTTCATATATAAAGATTTTAATTATACAAGCTTCCATAAAAGTTAAGAAGTTTTCAACGAAGTCTCTCAGAGATATGGAATTTCTAAAAAAAAATTGTGTATGAAAAAGAACTTTTTTCTTAGAAATTTCATATCTCTGAGAGACTTCGTTGAAAACTTCTTAACTTTGATGGAAGCTTGTGTAATTAAAATCTTTATATATGAAAAAGTTCGAGTCAACATTCAAAAATTTGATTTTTCTAAAACCTCGTGGTGCTACAAGACCTCGTGAAAGGAAACATTTGAAAAATTGGACAGCTTCCCAGCCAGACAAACACAAAAAAAACGGCGTTAAAACGTTGCAAAGTTTTAACGAAAAAAAAAACGTAAAAACCGCACATTTTTTGGATTTTTTTTCGTTAAAGTAGATGAATGCGTTTTATTTCGTTCAAAATTTTAACGCATTTTAACGCGTTAAAATTTTGAACGAAATAAAACGCATTGATCCCCTTTACGAAAATAAAATCCAAAAAATGTGCGCTTTTTGCGTTTTTTTTTTCGTTAAAATTTTGCAACGTTTTAACGCCGTTTTTTTTTGTGCTTGTCTGACTGGGTAGTCGAATGAGACCTAAACCCAAAACAAATTTTAATGAATTGTTTGGTTTTAAATATGATCCATTGACAGAAACATCAATATCTGGTGTTTCACCAGAAGGTAAATTTATAATAAAGAGAGAGAGAGACACAAACACACAAATTGCATTTACTTTATATGATTATAGGTGTTGATTTACTTGATCAGCTTCTATCTTTTGATCCTCGTCAACGTCCAACTGTTGAACAAGCCTTAAGTAAATTTTCATAATATAATTACGCGTTGTCTTTTCTCTATATCGTATTTGTTATATAGGCCATCCGTTTTTGGAATTTTATCATGATCCAAATGATGAGCCAACTATAGAACCTTTGATTGATGAACACGAAGACGCAGTATGTAGTAAAGAACAATGGAAAGGTAAGTCATCTAAATAGAAATTTCGTTGTTATTATTCATTGTATCTAGAAATCATCATTTTCATTTTGATAAAATAGATTCATAAAACACGTAGGAATAGAAAATAGTTAGATATTAAGTTTTCTAATATATATATATATGTATTGTTGGTTATCAACAGTTTGCATCGATGATTTTTCCTCATTATGTTTTCATACTTTTAATTAGAATTTTTTTTCTGAAAAAGACAACTCAAGAATGATAAGATAACAATAATAATTATTTTACTGATATATATATATATATATTTAAAAATATTTTATCATCATTTTAGCTACTATATGGCGAATGATTGAAGGGTTTATACCACCATCTTGGATCAATAATGATACAACGGATAATTCATAAGATAAAACTATGTACAACATAGAATAAGACTATTTCAGAATTATGATTATTGATACATTACAATAAATGTTGATTTTTGCATGTGAACTTACATTTTTGTGTTTATGTCTATTGTATTGAATTATGAATTATGCCCTTCCGAAATTTTGATATTTTTTATTTTTTGCGATGCTTTTATATCAATTTACAAACTTCAATCAGAAAGTTCGGATACATTCAGACGAAAAATGTTTTGTTTTTTTTTAGATAATAGTTTAAAACTGTCTATGTTTTTTTGAAAGTTTTTCATTGTATCAATTTCAACGAATACAAAAATATTAATATGGTTTTTCTTATATAAAAATTTTCTTTCGTTTTAACTCAGTCTATAATAATAAATAACAGAGAAAAACAAGCAATGAAAGTACTATTGGAATGAAATTGCACTGTTTATTTGGAAAAATAAAAAAAGGAGTATTGTGAAATGGGTATCTGATCTAACATCTGCATTCGCATGTTTTTATTTTCTGAATAAAAGAACTTCTGTAATTTTTTGAAATAACTTCAATTCATCATGAGTAATGTAAGAATGCTATATAATGGTATCAATCACTTTAATGAAAGATTTTTGAAAAATAGTAATAATTTCAAATGTCTAAAGAGCTGCTTATGATTTCATGTTTAAAAATCAGTAAAAAACATTGTGATTTTGTTAACTGTAATAATGTGAACAAATATGTTCATGATAAAATTGTCTTTTGAATAGAGATCAGAAACTGTACTTTTCAAGATGATTTAACACAACGGTTTCAATACTCTGCATCATTTTAAAGTTATGAATCAAAATAGCATAGAAACTCTAATAGGATATCAAAACATTGAATAATTGTATCATTCAATTAAAAAATTTTTTATTTTTTAAATTTCGTTTTTAAATTATAAGAGATTTAATATTAAATAAAAACCAGAAGACTAATGATGTTTTTCTTTCAGTAAGAAAACAAAAATCTATTTTACGAATGCATAACAAGCATTGCATTTTGAAATTCTTTTTTATGAAATATATGTATATATACTTCTGGGAAAAAAATGGTAGCTGCTTTTTAAGTACAGTCATATGACTAATATAACTTGTAGAGCAACGCAATAAAGCTAGACAAATGGATGTTTAATTTAAGTCGAAAATCCATATCCAACCCTCAAAGAACAATACTCCTATGCAAATACAATGCGTTTAATTATGTTTCTCAATGAATGCATATATTCAGTAAAATAATAGAACAGTATAATTTAGAGACATCAAAAAAAGAAATAAATTATAGAGGATAAATGAATAAGATATAAATTAAAGACAGTTAGTCCAAAAAGAAGAAAGCATTATTACGACAAAAATAAATAAGATACTAGAATTTCCGACAGATAATAAAAACCAATATTAAAGAAAAATTGAAATGAAACAGAATATATTTTTTAGTTTTTGAATAATAACTGATGCTTGTAGGATAACTACACAATACGAAAGTTTGCTTGGGTATTTTCATTTTAGATTTTTTGTTATAACTATTAAACGATAATATGTGAGTTTTACATAGTCACAAATCAAAATGCATATTGCTATTTGTTCTATTCTCAATTCAAAATATAAAATCGATTGCGAAGATTATTAACAACAATGTTTATGTTGAACCTTTTTTTTTTCATCACAATCACGATTATTCAAGACATTGTTTATGTGTTATTAAATGCTTCATTCATTATCCGTTTTCAATGCATAGTCTGATCTTTAAATCAAACAGAAAAATATTCATATCGTGAGATAAGACAAGTAAAAAAATAAATTTTCATCAATACATTCATCACTGAAACAATTTTCCATCTTTCATGTACATAATTAATAACAATATGTGATTTAATATGCTTATACGTCATTATGAATAATGTGATGCATCAAATTGTAATAATACAAGAGAAATATAAAGTACTTTGAATAGAATATTTATTTAGATTTATTGATAAAACAAAAAGTTTTTTGTCTCATATAATAACAATATATTTTTATCTCAAATATAATTTTCTACATATTCTAATTTAGCTATCATTTTTAAAATGTTATTGTATTAAAAAAAAATCACTTTTGATTATTCAACTACTACAAAGTAAAATAATATTTAGCATTTAATCTTGATCTTTTTACTAAAATATTACGAATTATGGTACGTATCAAAAACATATAATTTTTTTTAAATATATTTTAATTTTTAGACTTAACTCATTTATTATGTATAAGAAAAATAAAATAAGTCGGCAACGATTAAATTATCTACTAAGATCTTAATCATTATTTATTCATTGCAACATGTATGACAAAATGTAAATAAATGACACTCTATTACAATATTAGAATCTTCAAAAGTAAGTTTGGTTTTTTTTGAGAAAATATTTTTATATACAAATGAAATGGTCTTTTTAATTAATCAAATTTATATAATATCATAATAGTTTTATTTCCATCAATTCATTTAATATTGGTTTCGAAGAATATATACATTTTAAAAGCTTTACTTGACAATTAATATATCAAGTTGAAGTCGATCAAATTTTTTTTTCATACTCTTTAGAATTGACATGAAAAATAATTGTTTTTGTATAACGATATACAAACAATTACTTTTGATTGATCATAAAAAGCAACCATACTATTTCGGATTTAAGGAACTCTTGCAAAGTGTTCACTGATCTGTACGAACAGTTCAATTCAGATCACAAGAACTGTTCAAACAATATTTGTTCTATTTTTGAGAAAGGTACTTTCGAGTATAAAAAATTTTTGGTCTATTATTGAAATGTTTCTCTTAAAACAGTATAAAATTCTTTGGACAGCTCAGTTAAACAGATCTTGTGATATGGTCTGAGCTGTTCGAATAGATCTATCGTTCATTTGATCAGAACTTTGAACTGAGAGCTTGAGCCCATTGGATTTCTCTCGGATCCATTCGGGATTCGAAAATTTTAGACCCAACGGACTCTAATCATAAACGATAACAATCGTTTTGAATTTGTGTAATATTTCAGATGTATGTCGAGGAATAGGTTTTTCGATACGTACTGTTTGAACCATTATTTCATTTCTAGGAGCTCTTAAAATAGAAACTCATTCAATTAATAATTGTGGAAAAATATCTTGTATGTAATTATATATATATAAATGTATATGAAGAAAGTATGTCAATATGTCATACAACTACTAACCAATACGAGTTTAAATAAATAATGAAATATTTAATTGAAACTCTACATAGTATCAAATCTTATCGATTAATATCTTTTTATAAATGTCACTTTTGTTAATATGCTCATTTTGATTAATGTTTTTTATTATTAGTTTTCAATCGTATCTATATGTTTTTTTTTAATCAAATGAAAAATTGATAAACGATTCTCCTATTACTTTCATATGAATAATACGACAGAATCTCGTGATAACAGAAACAATTGTAAGTATCTAATTTCATGTTTCCTGATGAAAAAATAATGTACAATATAAAAATAAATATATAAAATACATAAGTTTTATTCTTATAAATTAAGATGACCTGAACAATGAAATTCATTTTCTAATTAAGTCTTTCTTTTGAAAAGAAATCTATTATGAAATAAAATAAAGATGAATCATCGATATTTGAAATGATTCATATTATTATTTGTCAATTTTAAAAGGTATTGTATTTGATTAAAAAAAAAAGATTAGAACAGAACAATAAAGTGTTATTAAGCAAATTATAAAACATAAAAATTCTTGTATATAACCTATTTTCAATACTTTTGGAACTATAGGTAATTGTAAGCAAAACAAAATCATTGACTAAAATTAATTCTTGTTCTGAAGATATAATAGCATCATCATGACTAATAATAGATTATAAATTGAAATAGTGTTACAGAAACAGTCATATATTTATCAAATTTGAAAGTTTCTTGTTGTTTATTTTTCTACTATTCTATATCAATATTGAATTAACATAAAACATACTCTTCAGTTTCATTGAATGAAACAAAATTGAAAGCGATCAAGTGACCAGTTATACATTCGCCTAATTCATTTTTACTATTACAGGAAATGTTTTGTTTACCTAATATAACACTATTTAATATAGTTATTTCTATTCATACTTGTTTCTTTTGTCATTTATTGGTGAACAAAAGACTCCAGAAGAATAAAGGTTAGTTCATGATTTATTTGATTGTGAAAAAGACCACGGAATGTATCCACTATAATTTGATCCAGTGATACGATTTTTTTTCGATAAGTTATATCATTATTTGATTTTAGTGAAGAATTATAACTATCGATAAGTTTTAAAAAGAAATAATCAAATTATTTTTCTACTGATAAAGAACAAATACCTATCAATTTTTCGATTAATTTCATATACTTGTTGATTAAATTCGAATTTAAACTACAACTAGTAATTTTTATTATTTAGTTTATCTTTCAAAAATTTTATCCATAAATAAAGAAGGTTTTTGTATCAGTCAACATTCTATAATTTATAGTTCACTCTACATATTAACTCATCAATATACAACTAAATATCAATTAAAAGTATTTAGTTCATTAAGAACCTCTTCCACTCCCAAAAATTACTATCAAACCAAGTATATTTAAATTGCATGGAATTTTCAGGATATGTTGATGCTATAGTAGAGAGGCTATGTTAAAATTTTTAACTCTATGCCATGACATTTTTGGGAGATATTTATCAAACAAAGGTTAAAAAGAAATATCTCATTTGACAATCTACGACTCTCCATGAGTCTTCGTTCTATTTATTTAATTTATTTCTTATTTGAAAGAGCATACCAACCAGCAGTGCCTAGTGAAGTTTTTCTTTTAAAAGTTTTACTTTTTTTTGCGAAGAAAAAGAATGACAAATTCAACACCTTGAAAAACTTTCAAAAAATGGTCATCTATTGGTAGAAATGCATTTTTATATATAATCAAAAAAAAATTTTCCATCAAA